TCAGGGGCTCCAGTGACGCAGCCACGCCCCGGGGAGCCCTCCCAACCTGCCGTGGAGGTGAGCCCACCCGCAGACACACTTTCCTGGGGAGGGGGTGGCCTGGCAAACTGCACCGTATGCCCAGAAGCACCCCAGCCCATCCGCGGCAGCCGCTTCTGGGGCGGACCCCCTCACCCCCCACCCCACCCCCGGCGCTCATGTAGGGGTAGGGATAGGAGTGGAATGATGTTCTCTAGAGAGACTGCCCAGTCTCCCCCTATATCCCAAGAAGGGGTGGCGGGGTTGGGGCGTTCCTTGGGGTCTGGCTTAAAAACCTCCCTGCCCACCCAGCCATGCAACCCCCTTCCAGGTCTGAGTGACTTCCAGAGACAGGAGAGCAGGCAGGCAGGACTTGGTCCAATGAGATGTCATGAGTACCCGTCTCAGCCCTACCTCCCACCCGGCCTCTTCCTTAAGCATTTTCCTCCCTGTCCCCCAGAGGAGGTTGTATGGGATTGGGTGTTTTGTGGCGCCCCACTTCATAGTGTGACACTGACTAAAAATGTCACCTTTATGCTGCCAATAGTTGTCACTTTGTAATCACAGGGCTGTGTGACCCGTCCTTCAGTGACTCTGTTTCATCTTCGTTCCCTGGGGAGGGTTCAGCCTCGTTCTAGAGCTGGATAGAGCCCAGGACTGGGCTCCTCCAGGATAGGAATTCAACTATCTCTTTAGGGTTGGAATAGCCCCCCTCAGTCCTTGACAGCACCCCTCAGAGGGATTCACAGCATAACAGGCTTTTGCCCAGGTAATCATTTTGGGAGAAGCATCTCTTTGCATTTGGTGAAACCTCTTTTCCCACCATTCCTTTCCCACCCCCTGGCACAAGGCTTCAAGTCCTGGGATTTATCAGATCGTACACCAGCTGTTGGTTATTCAGGGGGAGGGTCTCAGCCTCACTTGCTTTCCTAGAATCTGACCCCCTCCCCACCCTACCACCCCTCCGGGATCCTCAGATAAGCAGATACTGTTGCTGGAAGGTGGAGAAGTTTGTCAGTATCTTTGAACTCTAAACTTCACGAAGCAAAGATTCCTGAGAGATCTTTAAAGAATTCACGAAAAGGGAAGTTTCTTCTCCCTCCTGCCCCTAATTGGTTTTATACCTTTCATCCTGTGCTAACGGACTTCATTTGTGGTCTCCCTTGATCCTCACAATAAACCAGGTGAAGTTAGTAGAGTGTATTTTCAGGGGAGGGTGCTCATCAAGTTAACCTCCCTGGAGTCCAGAGCTGTGAAATGAGGGAGCAGGAACTCAAACTCTAGGGCCTGAGCTCCTGCTGCTTCTCTGCAGAGAACATAAGGGGAGAGGCTGCTCCTACCCTTTCCTTTACCCTGTGAGGGGAGGCATAATTAGCGGGTAAGAATGTGGACTCAAGCAGAATGCCTGGGTTTGAGTCTCAGTCCTCCCACTTCTTAGCTGTGTGAACCTCAGCAAGTCCCTTTACCCCCTGTATATATATTTGGCTGTTTGAAACAGAACTAGTGAGGGTGCACACAACAGATCACTGGACAGGGAGCCCCAAGCTTTCACCCTCTCTCTTCCTCCAGCTTTACCTGGCTCCTGGGGCCATCACCTCCCCTCACTTCTTCTCTTCAAACCCAGCTGGGGGGGTCCAGCCCATGTGTATGCGGTGGGGTAGGGCACAGAGTGTCTTTAATAGGATCTCAGAGGTGAGACAAGTCTGGAGATGTGTGTGTTCAGCTTGCCGGTTGGCAGGAGCAGGGAGGGGGGCATCTGGAACCCCTGTCCCTGCTTCCCTTCCTGCAGCGTGCCTGTTCCCCACACCCCACACAGGGCTCTGGAGTCCTGGTTTGGAATGGGGGGTGCTTGGAGAGACAGAGGGGGAAGCCACTGCATGTTGTCTGTGTGTCAGGGTGTGGGTGTGAGATGTGGAGTGGAGGCTCGCTGTATAGAAGGGGGGCCTTGGGCTTGGTCCAAGGACAGACTGAGGTGCTTCTATAGGTGGGAAGGGGAGGCAGCAGTGTGCAGGGAGTTGGGGAGGGGAAATGTAACTCCTTGCCGGCCGGATTGGGGTAGCCAGGCCAGTCTTCTCCGGTTGGAAGCACTGCACCCTCCTTCCTCCCTCAGCCTCCGTGCAGGCTTTGGTGGGATGACAAGGGACTGGCCTCAGGTCCTGGGCCTACTCTTTGGGGCAGAGGAAAGGATGACTCTGGTGCCAGAGGCACTCAGCTGTTCAGGGGGCCAGAAGGAACAAACGTCGGAGAGAGGGGTGTGCAGGAAGGGACGGGGTAAACGGGGACGGCAGGGCCTGTCCTGGGGCAGCACACAGGAAGGAGAGGGGACCTTTCAGGGGGCTGTCTGGACTTCCAACTTGCCCAGCTTCTCAGTCTTTGTTGCAGTGAAGTGTGACTGTCCTTGCCGGAGCCACAGGTGTAAAGACCTCACACTTAGAGTGGGGGTGGAGGGAAGAGGAGGCCAAGGCCTGGGGCAGTTTGCTAGGTCCCTTCATTTAATAGGTTAATTTTGAGGCACCCCTGGTATATATCATCCCAAATAGCAGGTAAATCAGGGTCACTGATATTTGGATTTGGCCTGTGTTCTTTTTTCCTGAATAACACAGCTACTCTACTGTCTACATTCTGAAGCTCTTTTTGGGGGGTGGAGGGCTTTATCATTCAAATCAAACACCCAGGTTAAGGAGTACTTGGGGTGGCAGACACAATATAGTCAGTAGCAGCTGGTAGGCTGCCTAGTGCCTGGTTACTGGCACTGGTATCTGTGCTCCTGGGAAAGCTCAGACCCCACTTGTCTTGCTTTGGGTGATGTGACAGCAGGTCTGAAACCCCAGCCTTGGGCCCTCTGCCCGTAAATAGGTCCTTGCAAGACCAGGGAAGCTAGCAAGAGTGGGAAAACTAGTCATGGCACACACAGTGAATGCCCCTCCGTGAATATGGGATGAGTGGATATTTGTAAGTAGGAATCATAGTTTAAAAAATGGGAGGAGTCATGTATTGAACACCTACTGCGTGCCAGGAACACCTCCTGTTGAGTTTGGTAGGATAATTGTCCATACTTTATGGACGAGGAAGCTAAAGCTTAAAGAATGGTAGGCAACTAGCTCTTACACCTAGGTGGTAACAGAGCCAGGCTTGTAATTCAGGTTTACCTGCTCCAAGGCCTATGCTCAGAACCATAGCCACCGGCCCAGATCAGAATGGCACTGGATCCTGGTGCGGCTGGGCCAGCGGCTCTCAGCCAGGGCTGCAGAGTAGAACAGGGGTGCTACAGACAAACCCAGGGCCCCCTCTCAGAGCAGCTGAGTCAGGATCTTTGGGCTCCAGCCTCACTGCTACTTAGAAGCTCTTCAGGTGATTCTGATGTACAACTGAAGTTGAGGTTAAACCATTTTGATGGTAGATACCAGCTTAGAACTGAGTGGCTACCCAGTGTAACTGGGTTTTACACACACCACCTTTCTGTCTGGGTTGGGGGCCTTCCTGTTTGTTCACTGACATGGTGGTTTGACACCTGCTACAGACACTGGGCTAGTGAGGCAGGCAGGAGGGCTTCCCACACAGAAGAAACAGCCCGGTCCAGGCTGGGGCCCTGGGAACTTGAGCAGCTAAGGATGTTCTACTACTTCTGACATGTCGTGGCCCGTCCTGGCCCGTCCTGGCCCCTCCTGGCCCCTCCTGGCCAAGAGGCATTGCTGTCTAATCTGCCCAGTAATTCCCCTGGATTCCGGGCTCCTTTGACTGGTGCTCATATTTTTCCTCCAGGGTTCTTAAAGGAGAAGGAAAAAAATGGAAGAATTAAAGTAAATGAAAGTGGGACATGCAGTGTTAGAGGAGAGAGGAGGCAGAGATAAGGCTTATTAGTACCCGAGTGATGAGTCTGAAATCCTGGCAGTGTGGGGGTGGGGCAGAGAGTCTGTGTGTTTAGGAGACTGGGTCTGGTACTGGCTGTACAGTCTGAATTAATCTAGAAAAGTTACCTCCAGGTCTCCAAAGTGAAATCTGGCCCGCCCCTCCTGTGGCCAGAGCAGAGTGCCTAATTCCATTCTGGATTGCCCCATTCCACTGCTCTCTCTCCAGTTTCTGCTGAGTCATACCCCATGATCCTCTCACTTGCTCTCAATTCCTAAATTTATTTTGGCTCCTCCCTCACCCAGCCGCCTCCCCAGCCATGTTAAGATTAGGGTGAGATGGGTGTCTTGGCAAGTGAGGAGGTGGAGTCTGGGGTGACTGATGAATGAATTGTGAATAGCTGTTGATGGCCAAGTGTCTGAGCTCCTGGACCCTGGTGGCCAATGAGGGTGGGACTCTTCACTCTGGAGTGTCCCCTGTCCCACCTCCAAGGGCACAAGTGGAAAGTCAGTGGGGTGAGTAGGGAAGGAGGAACACTTGTGATTATTTCAGACTGCAGTTCAGAGAAGTGACTGCTGCTTTCTTGTCACAGGAGTGGGAACAGGGTTTCTTGGAGTGAGCAGAGTAAGGTCAGTTTTATGGACCCAGGAAAATGATGAAGCACCCCCCATGCTCTGTCTCTAATATCCCTTCTATCTCCTGAGTCAGTCAGTGGCTCTTGACTTTGGTGGTACCTTAGAATCACCTGGAGAGATGAAAAACCTAAGTTCTCAGAGATCCAAATTTGGTCTCCAAAGGGATTTTTTTTTTCTTCATCTTCCCAGATGGTTCTAATGTGTAGCTGGGGCTGAGGAGGTAAGGAAGTAAATGTTTCTTCTTCCTGGACCTCAGGAGTGCCCAAGTCCTTTGTTCTTAGTTCACAAGATCACGGTAATCCTGGCTTCCTGTCTGGCCCCTCCTTTATAGCAAGATAACCTTAGCCGCTCACTGTGTTCCTAATTTGCAGCTAGGAAAGCGGGCCTGGACGAGTTTAGGGGACTTTCCCAGTATGTTGGGGCACACCTGGCCCAGAAACCAGGGGTCTTACCCCCAAGCCAGTTCCCTGTCCATAGACGTCACAGATGACCACCACGGTCATGATTTCTTTGTTCTAAAGATTCTAGAGAAGTGACTTCTCCGTGCCCTGGGTACCATCCCACATACCTCCTTGGACACATCCTCAGGGTGCAACTTGGGAAAGAATTTAGAACTTGGAATCAGAAGACCTGACTTTGAATCCCGATTCTGCCAGAGGTGTTCCTGGACCCCATCCAAGTGTTGGTTATAATAATCCCTTACAGAGAACATTCTTTGGAAACTTGAAGATACCTTGCAAATGTTACTTTTGTGGAACAGTTGTCTCATCAGCATCTGTCATGACTGTGCTCTCAAGAGCTGTGCTCTCAAGGAGGGAGAGAGTACAGACTCGCTCAGACTTAGGAAAGAGTGAGGTTGGCTCCCTCGTTTCCCTCCCCAGGATGAGTTTGGGCCTTGCAGGGAATCTCCTGCAGTCTTCTCCCCCTTATCCCTTATACCCCAACCAGTGGGTCCTTAATCCTTTCCTCTGGCAGTGGGTAGGTGAAGGATAAGGACTGAAGTAATTTGGGCATGGGCTTAGCAGGGTGGCCATCCTGGGACATCCATTCTCCCTTCCTGGGAGCTGGGGGAACCCATTCCCTCTGCAGGTCTCCCTGGTTGGGCTGTCCTTGCCCCAAGGCTTCTGCAGGAGGGGGGCCATCCCCATGAGTATACCCTCGCTAGCTGGGTACGGCCCCCAGCTACTCCTGGTGGCTTGGTCTGTTGGGTCCTCCTGAGCAGTAGGAAGGCCCTAGGGAGCACCCCCCAGCCCCGAGGTGGGGACAGCTTGTCTGATGCCCCTCCCCCACAGTGAGTGACTTTGTTTTGGGCTCCAGGTAAGGAATGGGAGGCCTGGGTTGGAGAAGAGGCTGCTGTGTCCCTCTCAGCTCCCTGCTGCCTCCCTCCTCCTCCTCTGGACGTGCTCATCAGGCAGCACATTTGCCAGGTGCCGAGCGGCAACGTGCCATCCTGATGACCAGTCCAAGAAATGATGGAGATGCTTGTACCCGGATAGGCTTTCTTTGAGGTGGGGTGGGCAGTAGATGGTGACAGGGGAGGAGGTGGAGGCTGGATGTCCTTCCTGCTGTCTCGCTGCCCAGCTGAAATCCCTACTGAGGTCCTGCACCCAGGGCTGATTGTGGGGCCTTGCCAGGGCAGGTCCTTCCCTGCAGGCCGTTCTTCCGGTCTGTGAGTGAGGGAGAGTCCCAGACCCCCAGACCTGCAGAGCCCAAATGGATGGAAGGGTCAGAGTGTGTGCAGATGTCAGAGATGAGGGCGGGGTCAAGTCCCCGAGTGGGCTCTCCCTAGCCCAGGAGCAGAGCCCACAGTCCCCTGCCCCTGTCGTTGCAGGAGCCATCCAGGCGGAGGCAGTTCCTGAGGGAGCATGCAGCCCCCTTCTCTGCCTTCCTCACCGACAGCTTCGGCCGGCGACACAGCTACCTGCGCATCTCCCTCACCGAGAAGTGCAACCTCAGATGTGAGTCGCCCTCCTGGGCCCTCTCTGAGCTCCTGTCCCTCTGCTCATGTAGCTCCTGAAACTGCCCCACATCCAGGAATCCTTCTCAGTCCTCCCCATTCCTCTTTCTAGAAAACTCCACCAACCCCTCTTCCTTGCTTTGCCAGGTAGGGGTTCAGGGGCTAGGGGTCAAGGGTAAGTTTTATGATCCTGGAAGCTGGGTTCTACCAGGGATTAGACTGGAACAGAATTGCTGTTGGGTTTAAGATTAAGGTTGGCCCTGAGTCTCTTGCTATTCCAGGGCTCTTTTTCCCTCCCTCCCTCCCTTTCACTGTAGCTCACGATAAGAAATATATTTACTGCATGGCCCAGTAAGTACATGTGTGTAGTAAATGTTTAACCAAACATTTCTTGTGTGCAGTACTGATGTTCTGATATTCTTACCTAATCTATCCAAAAAGACCGGTTTTGGACCCTTCACTAATTTGACTAAATGGCCCTTTAACAGATCCTGGCTGCTGGAACTGATGTTAGGAGGTGGGGCCCCACTCACCTCATTTCTCCCCTTCTGCTACCTCACCCTGAACAGGGAGTGCCTCAGTTTTCCAGTCTGTAAATCAGGACGGAGGATAACCTGATAGAGAGAGACTGGATATGAGAACACTTGTGGCTACAGAGGAGAGCGGCTTTTACCAGGCCAGGGAGAACATCCCAGCCTCCTTCCCCTCACAACATTCACAGAGAGGACTGCTTGTCAGTCCAGATGAAATGAAGGTGGATGAGCAGTGGCAGAAGGAAGGGGCCCAGGGCCCTGGCCTCCCAGGCGGATCCGGGCCAGCTGCCCCTCCCTGAGGGGACCAGCATCTTGGCCTGCCCCTACATCGAGTCAGGCCATGCTGTCTGCCTAGTTTATCATCTTGAACCTATACCCCCAGCTCCTGGGCTGAGGGATATGAAAGCCAGATGGGGAAGGGACATTAAATTTTATAGAAGAGAAAGGTGAGGCCCAGAGGGAATCTGGCCAAGGGTTTGTGTCCCCTCAGACTTGGCAGGGTCTCTCCTCATGGCTGGGATGGGGTTCAGAGAAACTTGTGGCCTGGTGGGGGAGTTGGGGCCTAACACTGCAGTCATGTCCCACCTCCACGTCCCCTCCCTTCCCCTTAGGTCAATACTGCATGCCCGAGGAAGGTGTCCCACTGACCCCCAAGGCTGACCTGCTGACCACTGAGGAGATCCTGACCCTCGCACGGCTCTTTGTGAAGGAAGGCGTAGATAAGATCCGGCTCACGGGTGGAGAGCCGCTCATCCGGCCAGACGTGGTGAACATTGTGGGTGAGTTGGACTACGGTTGTCACCACTTCTCCCAGCTCCTGCCTCGTCCCACTGGACTCCAATGATAATATGAATATTGACAGCTAGCATTCCTGTAGGGCATTGTGCTCACTTAGTCCTGCTACCCTCTGAGACAGGTACCGTTATTATTCCCATTTTGTTAAGAAATGCGGCACAGAGTTCAATAACTTGCCAAAAGTCACAAAGCTAAGTGCCAGAGCCCATGGCTTGACATCAGATTTCGACTGAAGTCCTCACTGGGGCCTTGAGGTCTGTGTGGTCTGGCTCACATCAACCTCAGAGACCTCTCTCCTGCCCCTTTGCCTCTCTGTTCCCCTCCAGTCATGCTGCAGGGTCTTTGCATGTGCTGTTTTCTTTGCCCAGAGCACAGGGCCTCTTGTCTGCCTCATTCAGGGCTCTGCTCCAATGTCATCTCCTTGTGGAGGCTTCCTTGACCACTCTGTCTAAAGCACACCCTCCCCACACCCACCCTCCCAGCCACTCTCTCTCCCGGGGGTTGGCCCGCTACAGCTCACTGTCCAAAACTGGGCCACCACCTGTTTTTGTGCGTGGCCTGCAAGCTAAGAATAGTTTTTATGTTTCTAAATGGTTGGGGGGAAAATAATCAAAAGAATAACATTTGCGTCACATGAAAATTTTACAAAATTTTAAAATTCGCTGTCCATTAACAGTTTTATTGGATCATAGCCACATCCACTGATTTACATATCTCCCACGCCGCATAGCTGAGGAGTTGCCACCAAGACCGGCAAAGCCAAAAATATGTGCTCTATGGCTTTATACAGAAAAGGCGTGGCAACCCTACTCTACCACGTTATGCCATTTGGTGATTTTTTAAATTGTCTGTTAACTGGCGTGAAAGCTCTCAGGGAGCTGGACAGGTGTGGTTCACGGCTGTGTCTCGAGCACCTAGGAAAGCACCTGACACATAGCTGGTACTCACTGGTGTTTGTTGATGAACGTGGATGGCTCAACGTACGAGCTCTGAAATACGACATGCCCACGAGTGATCTCTGCTGCGCCTCGCACTAGCATTGTATTTTCGAGCGGCTTTTAAAGTCTATGCTCAGCCTTCAGACCGAGATAGTAACCTCCCTTCTAGGGTGGACCTGAGGAGAGAATGAGAAGCAAATGCCCAGCAAGTGGCAAGTGCTGTGCATGGGGTGGAGAGCCTCTTCCTGTATGCTGCCTCCGAGCCCCGAGGTCAGGCGGAGAGAGACTTTGCTCATGTAATTATGGAAGATGAAATCAGAGGAAAATAAGGTTCCATGTTCTTGATTGCTGAGCTCCCCACCCTCAGCCTTCTGCCTCAGTTGCTGGTTCGGTACACATTCCCTGGAGAACCTTCCCCTGGGCCTGGCTCTGTGCTGGTCAAAGGAGGATGAGCCGCAGGCCTGGCTGTCAAGGACCAACCCCCCACCCCAGCCCGTTGGTGGAAGCAGCCTCTGGAGCCTGCTGTCCAAAGAGGAACCCAGGTGCTGTGGGAGCCCCAAGGAGGAGCCCAGGGACCCCTGACAGCTCTCTCCTCCCTCCTTCCCCGTGGCTGGCTCCCTCGAACCCCTACCGGTCACTTGACCTGGAACCGTGCCATCGTTCCTGAGCTGGACGAGCTGGCCCAGGGGAGCTGACTCCCTGTTCCAGGAAGCTCCTCAGAGCCTGCAAGGCAGACTGGGTTCCAGGAAAGGCTGCCAGACCTAGCCTCCTCCGTCAGGCCACAATACCTGCCATCTGTCCAGGGCCTGTGGGAGAGCAGAGGGGGTGGGGATCACTGCTGGTCAGAGAGGGATGGCTGAGCACAGACGGGAGGATGCAGAGCTCTTCACAGAAGCTGCCGACCTGCGCAGTGGGAGATCTGGGAGCCAGGAGAGGTGGCAGCCTGGTTCCGGCTCTGTGCTCTTCCACTCCCTGGCCCCGTGAACTTGCACAGGTTCCTGCCCAACCTGGGGCCTCAGTTTACTCATCTGTGCACTGGTTACCTCATGGGCTTTCCTGCTGTGATGGTTCTGGCTTCTTGGTTCTGGCCAATGGCATGGGGTGGGCAAGGGTGGATCACCACACAGATGTTGGTTAGGACAAGAAACTGGCTGCAGTGACCTGCTTCAGAGGATTTACCTCCTACTCCCAGAGGACAGGGCAGGTGGGCGCTAGTGGGGAAGAAGGGCTGGAGTGAGGGGAGGGGCCAGCGGTCAGAGGCAGGACATTCACAAGCACTTGTCCCAGCCCTCCTGGCTGAGAGTTTCAAGGGACCCTGCCCAAGGGGCAAGGTGAAGGGGTTGCAGGCTTCACAGAGCCTGTTGTCCTGGTCACCGGGGGTCCCTGTCTGAGCTCAGTCAGCCCCAGGACTGGTGCTGTAGAACTGCCCTGGGAAGATGGCTCAGTTCCCTCTCTGCAGTTGTCTGTGACCCCGCCCACCAACCCCCAAACGCTCCAGCACCCCCACCCCCATCCCTGCGTGTACTGAAGTCCCTCCCTCTCTTCTGCCGAGATGAGTTTAAGGCAGCGCTGTCTGATAGAACTTTCTGGGCTGATGGAAACGTCCTCTATCTGTGTTGTCTGATAAGGTAGCCAACAGCCACAAGTAGCCTTGAGCCCTTCACGTGTGGCTAGGGTGACCAAGGAACTGAACTTGTAACTTTATTGCATTTTAATTGATTTAAATAGCCATGCACAGTTAGCCACTGCCGTTTTGGATGGTGAAGGTTTGGGATTTCCCAAAGTACAAAAAAAAAAAGGAAGCTAGGCATACCTCACTTTATTGTGCTTCGCTTTACTGCACTTCAGATACTGCGTCTCTTTTGTACAAATAGAAGGTTGGTGGCAACCCTGCATCAAACAAATCTGTGGACGCCATTTTTCCAACAGCATTTGCTCGCTTTGTGTCTCTGTGTCACATTTGGGTAGTTCTTGCAATCTTTCCAACTCTTTCATTATTATTTTTCTTATGGTGATCGGTGGTCAGTTACCTTTGATGTTACTACTGCAACTTCCTGAAGGCTTAATAATAGCAATTTTTAGCAATAAAGTGTTTTTAATTAAGTTCTATACATTTTTTAGACATAATGCTAATGCACACTGAATAGACTGCAGTATAATGAAGACATAATTTTTATAGGCACTGAGAAACCAGAAAATTCGTGTGACTCTTTATTGCGATACTTGCTTTATTAAGGTGGTCTGGAACCAAACCCACAGTATCCCCAAGGTATAGCCGTAAATACACAAGTACCACGATCGTGTTGGCAGCATTGGCAGAGGACTTGTGTTGGATTCTAACTCCAAAACTGACTTGTCACTGTTAGGCGACAGTTCAGTTCAAGAATCACTCAGTCATGTGGCCTTTTCCTTTCTTGTTGTTTTGTCTGTCCTTCCTCCCTTCCTTTCTTCCATTATGTTGAAGAAACGAAATAGGCAACATCTAGATCTCACAGCTTAAAGCCCATGAGAGGCTTAATACAATGGGGAGCCATTAGGATTGTTTTGTTGTTTTGGTTTTTTTTAAGGATTTTTCTATTTATTTATTTGTTTTATTAAAGTATAGTTGATTTACAATATTGTTAGTATCTGGTATACAGCAAAGTGATTTAGTTTTATATATACATATACGTATATATACACACATATTCTTTTTCATATTCTCTTCCATTAGCATTTATTACAGGATATTGAGTATAGTTCCCTATGCTGTACAGCAGGACCTTGTTGTTTATAGTAGTTAGTATCTGTTAACCCCAAACTCCTAATTTATCCCTCCCCTATCCCCAAAGTTTTGGGTTTTTTTTTTTCACTAAGTTTTTTAATTTAAAAAAATTATTTTATACTTTTTTTTTGAGTGGGAAGGATTAACTTATTTATTTTCAGAGGAGGTACTAGGGATTGAACCCAGGACCTTGTGTATACTAAGCATGCGCCCTACCACTTGAGCTGTATGCTCCCCACCTCAAGGTTTTTGAAATGGGTTGAGGTTTTTGTTTTAGTTTTGATGGACTCTAGTTACATAGAATTAGATTAAATCATAATCCTGGGTTCATGAAGTAATCTCATTATTGAGCCATGCATGACCTTTTTTACTTTATTTGCAGAAATTTATTTACATGATTTAATAGTGTTAAGAATTCCTAAGGAAACCCACTGCCTCATCAGTTTTTTTGGAAGAATCAGAACCCTGGCAATAACCTTTAACCACCACTGTGGACTTCCCCACAGTGTACTTAACCCCTTCCCAAGGAAACACTCCTAAATGTTGTATTTATCATTCCCTTGCTTTTTAAAATGAGATGGTGTTTTTGAACTTTGTAAGTCGTGCTGAGCAGTCTTTCGGGAATTACTCTTTCGACACAACTGAAATTCATATACGTCATCCTGATTTCAGTTCTTTCTTCTGCGACCTCCTGTTCCATTATGTGAATACATCACACTTCCTCTCATTAATGAAAACTTGGCTTGTTTCCAGTTTCTTGGTATTGTAAACAGTGCTGCTTTAAACACTTGTATTTACATTCATGTGTCGGTGTACAGTTTCTCTAGGAGTGGAAGTGCTGGTTTATGGAGCGAGTATGTGAATGTTTAACGTTGGAAAACAACTTGGCGTTATCTTTAAATGGTTGTGCTGTGCACTCTCACCAGCTGTCCGCCCAACGCTTAGTATTATCGTTCTGAATTTTTGCCTGTGGACCGGGTATAAAGTGCTGTTTTATTGTGGGCTTGATTTGTACTTCCCTGTCTAGAGTGAGGTCAGGCATCTTGTCACAGGTTTATTAGCCGTATATATTTATTTTTCCGTTTAATACCAGATCATATCATTTTCCCAATTTCCTATTTGGTTGTTTGTCCTTTCATGTTGGTTTGGTAAAAGTTCTTGATGTATGTGACAGATGCCTTCTCCCAGTTTGAAAAAGCAAGCCACACTTTGTGTAACAATTCTTTTGGTTGATAGTAGTTCTTAAATTTATCAGTCCTGTCTCTTATGGTTAGTGCTTTTT